TGACGTATTTTCGGGAAACAGTCAAAGTTGATTTTAAAAAATTATTATTTTTTGTACCTACTACGAGTAATGTTGTTGAAATAGGTAATTGAGGGACAGTAAATTCTTATGTAGAAAGAAGAGTTAGTCTAATTGTTATATTATTAGATTTTTTGCTTGTATACGGTAGAATTACACCGACGATAATTTGATTGCGGGATATTAATAACTATCTAATATTTTTTGGATTTGTGTAACTAAATCTAAATCTCGAGCTCGAGAAATCATTAAGTTAAACAACAATCAATTAAGTTTTGTTTTTATAATAAGTAGTCAATGAATGATAGTTTATTAGTAATGGTAATTGATGATAATAAAAGCTATTGTTTTTTCATATTTTATAAGGCTTAAGTATTAATTACCTAAACATATTTTTGTAATAAGTACTAGAAAACTTTAACATTTTATTGTCTAGATTAGTGTTTTGAAAACGTTTTCATATTTTATTACAATACCTCATTTATGGAAGCACAGATGTCGATGGTAAAAATAATAAAAGGAATCTAGCCTCCACTGCGATCTCGGAAGACATATTTTATTGACCAGTACTAGTTAGGTAATATTGGAATTGCCTTTTTCGTCAGAGTCTACAAAATAGTTTGGTCTTTTTACCTTTTTGTTTTCTTCTTCTATTTCTTTTTCGTGTGGGACATCGAGTCATCCGACGACTCGATGAACCCTGGTATCAGAGTTTTTCAACCGCCTACTACAAGTAGTAGGCATCTGTCATGGTTGTGTAACGACCGTCGCTACTTTTTACTAGTGTAACCAGTTCTATTCTAAGTATTGCTTGCTAGCTAGTAAAAATCCATAAGTGTTGGATATTTTATTGGAATTGGATATAAGTGTCGTATCTACTGGCATAAAGCATGCAAATCAAATTTTGTGGTCTTGGTAAATCCTAGCATGAATTGGTAGGTAAACCCACAGTGTATTTGTATATTATAATCCTCATATTGTTAACTATTTGGAAACATTCTACGAATGATCCTTGCGGAAACGCCGTATCCGTTTTTTGCCTTCGCTTTGCAATAAAACCCAACAGTTATTTTTTAAACAAATGAACAGGGATTATTTTCACAAAAATTATTGTCTTTTAACACCTAAAAAACATATACTTAGGTATATAAAGGTACAACAATTTATTTTTAATTGACAGTTAATACACAGATTTAAATTTAAACAATAATAATTTATAATCATGCATATTTTGAATACTTACATAGTTTGTAAGTTAGGTTTATATTTTTATATTTTGCCCGTCGTTATCATATCTTGACATGACAACCAAATTATAACATATTATCCTAGATATTGTAAACAGATACCTACAAATAATAACTTCAGTAGGTACATGTTTAGTTTAAATGTCGATTATAATTAATGATGGATGAGTGATGTGATGATAAGGCCTATTTTGGTCTATAATCACGTAAGAAAACATTTAAATATATTTTTAAACGATATAGATTTTAAAACTTATAATCTTATTTTAAGTTGCTTTGGCTTTTGGAAATAAAAGATTATTTATTAATTGGGTTTATAAATAAGAAAAAACAGTAATTTTGAGTAAGAGGTACACTCATTCTTAATAGTAAGTCTAAATTAATGTGAAGGGCTGGTTTTGGACATATTATACAAAAAAAGCGTAACCCAAACAGTTTTCAACTCAAAAACTAAAAATGATATCAAATTGCACCATATTATTTTCATTTGGTATAATAGCAGTTTATACATTGTTGATATTATTTAGTTTAAAAATATTAATAAGTATAGATAAAATGGTACAATGTGATAATAATACTTACCTAAACATTTATTTAGCTACAAAGATCACAGAGTTGAAATGGGATTTAAGTAGGATATACACTATAACAAACCCAATTTTGTATATTAAGTGTGGCATAAAAAGCAAAGTACGTGTCGGTCGAATTTCGCAAAGCAATAATTTGTAATCTTATTTATGGTAAGGTAATAAAATGAAGTAAAATATAACAATTATATTTCTAATTGGGTACAGTACACTATTAATGCCACACCATGAATATAATGTAGGTATTTACAATCATTTTTATATTATTATATTTCTGAATAAGAAAATTCCATATTATGTTACAACCTTTTAGGTTGTCTTTCTAAATGTTGTTAATTTTATTTAAGTAATTCGTCATGAATCGATGTTTTGTAGTTATTAAGAGAATTTATACACAGGGCATTATTGAATTCGTGAGAAATGAGTATTTATGTCTTAGCGATAATAAAAGATGTTTAGCTAGGAAGATGGAAAGATTTGGTCCTCTCTTCCACATTTAGAATCGCTGTATGATTTTTGCAATTTAATTGAAGCAAGAGGGGAGGCCTTTGCCCAGGAGTGAAACACTTTAGACTAATAAAAAATCCAAAACAAAAATATATTAAAATATAGAAATTGGAACGCTTATCTTTTCCAATTGTGAATTTTTCATTTCTTTGGATTTTCTTTCATATATCTTCTTTATAAAATTTGCGACTTTCCTGGAAATGGCGCTTACGATGTTTTGCCGTTTAAGGTCGATCCTAATTAAAATAGTAGGTAAGTATCTTGAACACCAACAAAAAATTACGCGTCCAATTTTTCCAACGCAGGTAGGTTTTTGGAAGCTATTAGAGACTAGTAATGTAGGTATATTGATAAGACACAAAATCAAATTTAACCACACTTTTTACAATTTAACCAATATTTTTTTCGTGGTTAAATAAAATAATGTTTCGAATTTACGAAACTTTCTATTACACTCTAAATTTCCTCTAAATGTTTTGTTAAAATTGGATAATCGGTAAAATATTTCGTAGCTAACTAAATCTAAGAAATATTCATAAGATTGCATTTGATACTAAAGCTTTCTTCACACTGCCAGACAGACAGATAATATAGTCTGGATTCCCTTATAAATTAGCCAACTAATAAAAATACCACTGTCACTTTCGTTCAGTTAGGGTAAAAAATGATAGAAGAATAGAACAGAAAATAAATTTGTCTTTCATTGTCCATGATTTCAATCGATTTAATAAATTAAATCATAAATAAATATAGAGTTGATTATCTCCAATCCTTTTATAACTTTCTTTAGCTGAAAGTGACAGGGATAGTTTTAATTTTAGTCCTGTCATTTTACCTGCCTGTCATATACTATTGAAAAATAGGTAATGTAATGGTCGGATGTTGTGCGTCATAACCGCTTTTGAAATGAAAAGTACACTTTTAATATTTAGCTAATAGCTATAATCTAAATCTCATTTATTTCTTTAAGCCGTAGGTATTTATTAAATATAAAATCAAGAATAAATTTATATTTTGAAAATAATACACCTACCTATGCCAAAGCATGTTTTACATGATGTACCTATGTCTATAAAAGTAAGAATTTCTTAGGATTCTTACTTTTGATATACACCTGTGCACTAAAACAGAACAATTAATTATTTTATCTTTATTTTTCGTTATTATAATTATTTTTCTAAGCCTTTTAAAGGAACAAATAGTTTATTTTCTTTATCGATGTGTTAATCATAAGATTAGCAAATTTAGTAACATGATTTCTTTTTTAGTTAGAGCGCTATGTGGAAATGGATAGCTAAAATTTATACAGGTCTTATAAGACGATGGGACTTACCGAAAGAAAGTTTTACCCGAAAATTCTAAGCTCCTGTTTAGCTGAACAACTTTACCCAAAAAACGGAGTATGAAAAAAGAACAGACCTCCTATCTTGTCCTATGTTCCTTGGGGAAAGTATGGTTGAGTATGACTTGTGAGCTTATCATTTTCGGGAATATCCGTCGTTTAGTACATATCTCTATATAAAAATAAGGGACCACGTACGTGGAAAATCTATTGTAAGAGGGTTATTCTTTGCTATCAAAGATTATGTATAGTCAGAAGCTTGAATAAACCAATAGAATTTAGTAACCTACATGTAACACATCTATCTATACATCGGCAGTAGAAATACCCAGTCTACCTACCTGGGTATGTATTGGGTATGGTACTGGGTTAATCTGAGGACCAAAGAACACCTTATGACTTTAGGCGTGAGCTGTTTTAGTAGTATATGAAAATTCACTGTATCGTTATATAAATAAAATCTAATTTGGGTTAGTATGAGCAAATCTGCAAGTATATCGATTCTTCTTCTCTGAGAAGTGAATCTTCCAATGAGAAGGAACTGTGTAACAAATGGTGCCACTCTACACTGCGCTACTTTCTTTGGTCGAGAATGTGTCAAAAACTGTCATTGTCAAGGTTTTAACACTTTTCGTCGTGCCTATTAAGGCACAGTCGTGCCATGGTACCATTTGCAAAAAGCTTTCGGTTTTCCTCCAAATGGTTGCATTATTTTTATGAAACTTATTCTGGAAGATACGTGGTACGCCGCCATAGTTCACTGGATTAGCTGTCAAATTTTGTCAGTTATTCCGACCTAGAGTGTAAGGCGGCGTACAACGCAATCGTGCGGTTAAGTTTTTCCAAAAAAGAAACGCCCATTGCTAACGATACAGTTCACCTCCAATTCGCCACTCTGACAGGCTGGATGAATAGAGCTGTCAAATTAGTACTCAGACAAGCAGTCGGGCGGGTGGAAGTCGCCGAAGATGTTCAGCTCGTAGAGGCTGGCGAAGGTGATGAAGAGCAGGTACCACACCATCAGGACGGCCCCGAACTTGCGGTCCAGCTTCCAGCCGTTGGCGTGGGTCGCCACCACCAGGAATATCACGGTGGAGAACAGGGACAGGGTCGAGTACACCAGACCTGGAAGAAGACAGATTTTAGAACATGACATACTTAGCATTTACAACCGTAATGTGGACTAACCAGGTAGTAAAGTCGTAAGTTCTTTCTACAGATCTGATGTCGCTCGCTAGATCGTCGCTTGAAGACAAGTATCAAGAGATTGTTTGACAAGCATCGACCGTTGCAAGGGTTGCACCGATAGCTCAGTGGCAGAGCGGTGGGGCGTTAACCCATGTGGCCTGGGTTTGAGCCTCGGTCGGTGCAGGACATTTTTTCAATTTCTTCTTCATTTTTGAGAATAATATAGCACTGTGAGCGCATTTAAGTCCCAGTAGCATATTGTTTTTTCTTACAAAGTTACTTAAAAAGTCCCCCTACCTTTGCTGATGACGTTGACGTGGCTGCCGGGCTGGATGATGGCAGTTTGTATGAACCACGGCAACCCCAGGCACACCAAGATGTCGAACACGTTGGAACCCACTGCGTTCGATACAGCCATGTCTCCGTATCTGAAACAAGTCGTAATTCATTATTTCATGATTTAAAAAAAAGGGAAAAAAGCGTGTTAAAAAATATAATGCGTAAAAAAATGACTGCAAATATTTTAAGGGGTGTAAATATTTTAATCCCATGAAACTGAACATTAATTTGTTTCCAAGGAACATAGGTCGTATGTGTGGTTAATTTTATTTTCATTTTAAGATCTGTGTTCCTTGGGAAAAGTTCTTCAGTTTAATGGGCTGATTCACCCCTTCAAATATTTGCAGTTGATTTTTTACATGCTATAAAGTATAAATTAATGGTCTTCACATATGATTCCAAGTATGTCTGTAGCAGCGAGCTACGCGGCTACGCACTTCGTAGCTAAATGCTACACTGCATTTTCGTAGGACTTTCACCACCTTTCACTGAATTTTATGGGAAATTTCGGCGTTATTGAAATTCAAATAAGCAATACTTCAGATTTTTGGTTTGCCGAGAACACATATTTCGTATTTCTGCGCAGTATTTTAAGTAATAGGTATAATTTGATTGTCTCACCCCTCCTTGATGACAGCGAGTGAAGAGAGCGCGTCGGGCACGGACACACCGGCCGCGACGAACGTCAGTCCCATCACCGTATCGGGGATACCCAGCGTGTACCCTGCAATACGAGTTACAGTAATGGTTAAACTTCAAAAGATAAGCTCGCTCGCTTCCTCGTAATAAGCATTATCTTACTGTTATATTAAAACCTGAAACGATGAACTCGCTTCGCTCGCAATAGGTACGTGTATGTTCCTGTTTTGACTTGAAATCAAGAGCTCGTTTCGCTCGCAATACCTGTATATTGTTATTTTAACTTGAAATGAAGAGCTCGCTTCGCTCGCAATACCTGTATATTATTGTTGTTTTAACTTGAAATGAAGAGCTCGCTTCGCTTGCAATAACTGTGTAATGTCCTTTTAACTAGAAATGACAAGCTCGCTTCGCTCGTAATACATGTAAGGGGAACGTCAGCTTGCTTGACCCTTACCAATGATGGTGATCATCCACACCATGAAGTAGGAGTAGAAGGAGATCCACAGCATGGAGATGACGAAGGTGACGGGGTACCAGGGCCCGCGGCAGTCGGGCATGGTGTGCCGGCACGACCAGTGGACGGGGTAGGCTACGTAGTAGCACGCCAGCTGGAGAATGTCTGGAAGGATAATAGTTTTTGAGCTTAGAGTACCTTCATATAAGCAATTAAGCTATAGAGTGCGCGTAAGGCCCCTCGCCGTACTGTCAAAGCGTATGCAGTTGCTCCCTAGATACAGACGTCAAATGTATGAGAAGTTATAGAGGCTCAATCAAGAAGTTTGGGATAATAATAATAACTTACAAAAACTATTGGTTAAACGTTGAAAATATTAGATACTCTAGATGCAGCAGTGTTTTGTCAACTTACTAGCGTTCTCTGGCTTGATGAGAGGGTTCACCGCTGTTTCAGGGTTGTACTCCTTCGCCTTGTAGTAAGCTGGAGCTGCTGGCTGCAGAAAGTAACAAAATATTAGTCAATCACGTTAAAGGATACAAATAAACACAAATGTTTACTAACTAGTAAGTTATATAACTTGTTACATGTCAAAGGTCTGATAAAAGGTGGCGTCGCCATGTTTTGAGTTACAGTTCATAAATAAACCAACATGACGTCTGATAATAAGACATCACTATAATTATAAATGTTGACTGTTGGCCGTAGGCCTTATAAGGTACTATCTTTCGTCTCTTTCATCCACTGGTGGAAATACCGCAGTCCAGAGGTGTAAAAGCTTCAAAGCTGCATTCTCTATGTCCGACAAATATAGAAAGTAATCACTCATTTTAGTTTTATTGAACCTGTGTGTTTCTGAATGGAGTTCTCCGTCATCGATTCTGCCTCTGTCTGTTTATGGCTATTAGCAATGCCCCATTTCACTCAAATGGATTCGTGTCGAACCCACAACTTTCAGTAGCTTCAGCCAGTCAAACACTTTATTTTTCACAACTACTTTTACTAGGTGTTATTTTTGCATACCTGAGGAGCAGCAGGGTTCTGCGCGGGCTGCTGGGCTGGTGACGTCACGTTGCTGTCGTAAGCTGGCTGGGCAGGCTGAGTGGCCTGGGTGTTCCAGCCAACAGCTGGCGCCACGGGTGCTACTGCCGCGTTAGGCTAGGGTTAGTGAAGAGGACAGTTAGTAAGCTGGAGTTTGTTAAAGGTGACATAAAAGAGATGGCGACAAAGAAAAATAGTCCTATATACACCACACCCTAACCCACATCTGAAACCTATACCAAGCAGCGTGATTTAATAACTATAATTTGGTCTGTTTAGGCTGGATAAGGTTGAGCTCACCACCCAGTTTAAAGTAAAAAGGTTAAAATGCCAGGGGATGGAAGTGATAGCAAGATAAGATAATAGTTGGTGAAATTGTACTAGTGACCGATAGCGAAAACTCAGAACCGGTTGGTGATAAGGAATAACTTTAGCCAAGGAACATAGGTAGAAATATGAAAAAAAAATTAAACCTCGTATACAAAATTGCCTATCAGCTGATTTACTATGGGAGGTACAATTTTTTTTTTCATATTTCGACCTATGTTCCGTGGGAAAAGTTGTTCCGTATCACCAGCCGGTTCTGAGTTTTCGTTATCGGTCACTAGTAAAAATTCACCCCATATTGGCGTACTTATTACCGCAACCATACCCAAGTCAGTAGGTTTTTTAATTGGCTTGCAAAGGTAACTCACGTCACTCCAAGCTCGGTCAGGGTCCCAAACCGTGTCAGGGTTCCAAGCCGTCGCGGCTGCGGCCGGGTCAGCGTGGTACGCCGCGTTGTCGTAAGCACCATCTGGGTTGTATGCTGGAAAATATATATTTCTTTTAGGTACGTAGGTACTTATCCTGATTAAGTTCTGAAATGTGGTATCAAAGTGTTACCGCCGATCGTTTTATCAGTTTGCAAATATGTCTCAAATATAAGATGTAAAAAAATCAACTGCAAATATTTCATGGGGTGAACCAGCCCAAGAAACTGAATAACTTTCTCCAAGGAACAATTAGATTCAAATAGGAAAAAAATTCTTGGTCCTCCCATACAAATTGATTTGGTCAGCTGGTACATTTTGTATGGTAAGACCGAATTATTTTTGATATATCGACCTATGTTCCTTAGAGAAAGTTGTTCAGTTTCATGGGCTGGTTCACCTCTTAGAATATTTGCAGTTGATTTTTTTACATCCTGTATGTTCCAATGAGAGTTATAAGTCTGTCGCTCGCTTTTTCTGTCGTGTTCCTGTGTCGATAATAGACCTGATGAGTAAAGTTTTATTTATCAAAAATTATAAAAGTTAACCAGAATAACCAAAAAAATAGTAGCAGTTTAACCAAATTTTTAGGTTTTTTTAAATGTCCAGAATTTTTAAACTGCACGAGATAGACTTTCTTTTTCATTTTTAATGATGGTTAGTCATGACCCTACGCTACAGAGTGTCATAAACCATTTACACATTCATCACATCTATATCCCTTGCGGGGTAGGGGCTAGCAGAGCGAAACATGGCCATTTATACCACGTCTAACAAAAGTTTGAGAGTCATTCAGAAGACTGTGACCTATAGTGACAGGTTGTTGCTAAAATTGCAATACAAATGAACTCTCAACTCCCTAAATCGCTTCTTATGACACCCACCACGGGAAATGGGGTGACGCTATTTTAAGCACCACACCAGCAATCCGCTACTTGATTGACAGGTCAAATGAACTACTTTTTAAGACGACACAAAACGATATTTTGTACGAGATTATTGAAATATGACGTCATATTTCAATATTTTAGATGGAGTCAAAACAATAACTTTTATAACAAAAATGTGTTTTATAATTCCAACTTTTAATATTTTGAATAACGATGAATAAAGTCTGTAGTACTTTTCGACAATAGTTACGCATATACCTATACAATAAGCATACATCTTTTGTATTGTATTTACGACTCTGTCAAGTAGCAAATTATAATCTTTGCCTGTACTTACGAGGGTTCTGGAGGGTGGTCTCCTTGGTCTGGCCTTCCACTTCGGAGTACTGGCCGTCTCCAGCAGGTGGGGCCGGTGGGCCGCCGGCACTCCTGATGAACAGAAGAAAACAAGTTATAAAAGGATCACGGTTTACTATCGTGCTCATTCCATTTCATCACTACTTTTAGCTCCAGCATAGGTATAGATGACACTGTCGCCACCTTGCTGTCACCCCGAACTTACTTAGGGTGTCTCGTAAAAAGCCATGTAGGTAAAGTTTTCGACCTTGGATAAAAATCTACCGACTCCCGATGAACATACACAGAACACAGACAAAACAAGACAAAGATGAACATACTTGTAAGTGACAAGGGCTGCCTGCTCCTCCCTGGTGGGCAGCTTGAAAGGCAGCGGCAGCGTCATGGCCCAGCGCTCCAGGGTTGAGTTGAAGCGCAGTGCGATGCAGTACACACCGTACATTATCAGCATGAACAAGGCTTCCGGCCTGGAACAAAAACAAAATAAGGAAAGTTAGTTGTGTCAGTATTTTTGAGATCTTATTCTTCTTCTCTACAAGTAGCAGGCCTCAGACATGGTTGTATTACGATACGACTGTCGTCCAAATAATCATAGACAACCACCGGGACCGTCGGCTAAACGGGGCCTCCGAAACACGGAAACATCTTCTTTTCGGCCAATCAGGTTGTTTAGCCTGCAATGTTCTAACCAGACTGGTAACGAATTCA